TTACAACATTATTTGTTAATGCCACGTGTTTTTAATTGGCTTAACTATTTTACCCTTAAATAACCCCTAATAAAATTTAAACTGAGATACAGATTCCCCTCCCCTTCTTCTTTAGTATTGGTTCTCCTCTGCCTTTTTTTTTTCCTTACACATTCTGATTATCTCAACCTTATAGTGATAATTTAGAAAGATTACACACAAAGAAAGAGAACAAAATATTTGAATTGTTAGTTAGATATTTTGCTATAGGATAATGATATGTGAATAAATTTTTTGTACAACTTTTTTATAATTTTTACAGATTATTAAATGAATAGATGTATATAATATTACAGATCTTTATAATATAAAAACAACCAATTATTATTGGTATACATTTAATTTAACATACATATATTATTTGGTTTAGTTATTAAAATATAATATAAATATAATTTATTTTAGTCAATTTCTTCATCATTTATGTATTGTTGGATCTTTAAATTTATAGGTATTTAATTTTAAATTAAAAAATATTGATTTTTTAATTAACATATTGTGTAATGTATTAAATCGAAATATATACTAATTATAATACAAACAAACAAATAAGAGTATAGTGATATAGTCTCACTCCTTTTCTTATTTAGAAATATGAAAACAATATCTACTCTCTAAAAAAGTTTGAAATGTTAAAATTGTATTTATTACAATTTTTATAAACACTCCTATGTCTTAAAATAGTTGTCGTTTTATTTTTTTCTTTTTAAACTTTCTTTTAAAATTAAGAATTTGAAGACAATTTATATGTTTTTCTATATTACCCTTAAAAAAGTAATATATAAATAAAGACTTTTTATAATAGGGTGTCTAATTAAAATAAATAGATAATAATATAGTTAAAATTGGAAAAATATTTGTTTACTTTTAAAAAATGAAAAAGTTACAATTAATTTGAAACAAATTTAAAGTTAAAAAATGATAATTATTTTGAGGTAGAGAAAGTAATATAAATAAATAAATAATTGATATTAATTTTATTAATTGTCTAATACTCCATTTATCTTGAAATAACTATTATTTTTTAATTTTTTTCCTCAATTTAAAATTTGGAAAAAAGATTAATGAGTTTACTTATTTTACCCTTAGGGGTTGTTTGGTATCAATAAGCAAGAGTGTTTAAATTAATAATTATTATTATTGTTATCAACCGTTAAATTAAATAAAATTACTAACCACTAATTTTAAATCACTAAACCAAACAGTCTATTAACAAGAGATAAAAAATAAAGAGAGGCTATTTATGATAAGATTAATGTATTTAAAATAATAGAAAATGATATAATTAAAATAAAAAATATATTTGTCTCCCTCAACAAACGAAAGAACAATTAATTTAAAATAAATTTAAAATTAAAAATATGAGCAAAGTACAAAGCATCTAACTGCAAAAATTAATGTCATCCTTTTTTTTTTTTTAATGTATATAATGAAAGGTGAGTTTTTATCGAACAAAAAATAATAATTCTGTTTTATAATTTGAATTGAAACGAAGTATAAAACATAAAAAATTAAATAGAGAAGGCTCTTTAAATAGGGTTGCCTTTATTTAGTGATTTTTATGATACAATTTAATATATTTTAAAATGTATAATAATTTTTTAATACAAAATAAATTACAAAACAAAAATAATTGGATAGAAAACAGACGTGAATATCAAAAGGTCCGTTCCACTTTGTTCTGCAGTCTAATCATTCTCAACTGCACAGTTTTTTCAATGGTTAAAATCTGAAAATAAAAAAAAAATAAAAAAAAGAAGAGAAAAAGAATTGCACGTTTTAGACAAAACCCTTGTAACCCTTCAAAAAATATCGGATTAATTCAATTTTTAGTCTATTAATTATAAGTTTAATTTCATTTTAATGTAAAAAGTTTATTTCTTTCTAAATGGTCTATAAATTTTGAAAATATTTTAAAAGATTCTACCAGTACAAAATTTTATTAGATTTAACGAAAAGAGTAGTTTTTTAAGTTTTAAAAAAATGACATTATAATTTTAATAAAATATTATGATTTAAAAAAATATTTTACAAAGATAAATTAGTTAAAATTTGTAATAAAATTGAGCAATTAATTTATTTTACATGATAGATTATATACAGTCTATTTTGAAAAAAATTATTTAAATGATCCTAAAAGAATAATATAAAAATAAAATTAAAAGTATCTAAATAATTTTACAGGATAAACTATATACAGTCACCTTTATAACACAGTTTTCTAAAAAACACATTTAGTAAGATAAGATTAAAAACTATTTTTATAGTAGTGAATACAAATTTAAGGACTAAAAAATCAAAAGAAATATAGTTAGAAGATTAAGTATTTTCTTATAGAATAAAAACATTTCCGTTATTTTTAATGAATTAGATGAAATTTAAATAAATGTGAAAGATAATAAACAGAATTGAAAAAATTTAAAGATAATAAAAGAAACTGAAAAAAATATAAAAATTGATAGATAATTTGTGAAATTAACCCAAAAAATTCTCAAAATCACCTCCCCCTGTTTCCTTACTGTCGCCTTCCCTGTATGGAAAACCCTTCGTCATTTCGTGGTGGTACCATTTCCATTTTACCTAATTGGAATCGATGAACAAATGGCTAATTTTTATTGGGTGTTGTTTAGAAATTAGAAGCACAGGTGTGGGGAACACGCCTTAACACGCGGGCCTTTTTAGATACGTCGTTGGACTTGTTAGCGCTCGTAAGTCCAGCCGCCAGGTGAATAGAAATAAGAATATTCTTACAAGTTAACGCAAACACAGATCATACATTTCTTCCCCTGTTTTCAGACAATCACCGGAAGTCTGGAGACTGAGCTCTCCGGTTACCCCATCCCTGGTAACCCTTTTCTTTACATCATATGAAAATGTTAAATATATATCCGTGTGCAATGTTTTTACCTATCAGGTGATGTCCGAAGAGTGGTGTTTTCTGTCAAACGGTTTCAAACAAACAAACCTTCAATGGGTGAAGATGAATTTGGAGATGGTTAACAATGAAAACATTAATTCTAAATCCATTTTCTTTTTCCGGATTTTCATTTTCATGTTGAAAAACCATTACATCTGACTTGAGTGGAAAATATATTCTGTTTGGTTGCTCGGAAAATGTAGAAGTCATGGCTTTTTTTATGTCCTTAGACATTTTTTTTTTCCGTTCTTTCTTCGTGCAGTTAGGAAAGCGAGAATTATGTTATTTTTTTTAACGTAAAATTGAAAATTTTGAAGTTATTTTCTCTGTTTTAGCCCAGAAAAAAAATTGTTAATTTTCTCTTAGTACTGTGAGATTGGTTGAAATTCAAAACATGGCATCAACATGAGTGTTGACAAACCATTTTGAGGTAAACTGAATGAATATCATATCATATAGTAATATGTAAGGATTTGTTAGAAAACAAGTTTTCCTTTTTGTTCACAGCTCAACAGAATATATAGGCTCAGAGTTTCTACACTTCGTTTTCCTAGGAAGTTTGCCCATTTCCAGCCAGTTTTTGAGCCTTGGAACTTTCTTTTTTCCTCAGAAATGGAAAACTTGAGAGCCCCTTTCCGGGGTATTGCCACTGACCTCCGGGGAAGAGTATCTTTCTACAAGCAAGATTGGCTTGGTGGATTTCGTTCCGGTGTCGGGTACTTTACCTTTCTTCTTCATTCATTCATTTAATTATTAGGCACTATCAGAAGTTGCAGTGTATTAACAAGTCTTTTTGTATCTTTTCCATCGTTGTTTCTTGTAATTAGGATATTGGCACCAACTACATACATATTTTTTGCTTCTGCTCTTCCTGTAATCGCCTTCGGTGAGCAACTTAGTAGAGATACAGGTAGGTTACCATTCCTTAATGTTGGAATCCTAGAGGAAAATTGAAAAGCTTGATGGCTAATGCTACTGGATTTTCGAATATAGATGGGAGTTTAAGCACAGCTGAGACCTTAGCATCTACTGCACTTTGTGGTATCATACACTCAATATTTGGGGGACAGCCTCTTTTGATATTGGGAGTTGCTGAACCTACTGTTATCATGTACACATATCTGTACAACTTTGCTAAAGGGAATAAAGACTTGGGGCAGGAACTTTACTTGGCTTGGGCAGGATGGTAAGAACAATTAAGTTAATAGTTTCATAAGTGAAAATTTTGTAGAGTTGTTGATAATTAGTTTGGTTTTCCCAATTCTTTTACAGGGTTTGCGTCTGGACTGCTCTCTTCCTGTTTCTTCTTGCCATATTCAATGCTTGCACTGTCATCAATAGGTTCACAAGGATTGCAGGTGAACTTTTTGGCATGTTGATTGCGGTTTTGTTCATCCAACAGGCAATAAAGGTCAGTAAAACCGAGAAAAGTAAGAATATTTTAGTTTCTTGTGTAGAATTCTGTTTAATTTGATGTTTGACACGGATAGAAAATTGACTGGATTTGCAGGGAGTGGTGAGTGAATTTGAAATTCCTAAAGCTGAAAATGTGAATCTAGAGAAATATCAGTTTCAGTGGCTGTACACAAATGGATTGCTGGGAATTATATTTACGCTCGGACTTCTCTACACTGCCCTCAAGAGCAGAAAGGCAAGATCATGGAAGTATGGAACAGGTTGGATTGTCTCACCACTGTTTTTAGTATATATAATGAATGAATTGTTGTGTAGAATCTGAAGGATTTTGTCAAATTTTTATGCAGGGTTGTGGAGAGGTTTTATCGCAGACTATGGTGTTCCTTTGATGGTTGTAGTTTGGACAGCCTTGTCTTTCTGTGTCCCAAGAAAAGTCCCCTCTGGAGTTCCCAGAAGGCTCTTTAGCCCTCTTCCTTGGGAATCCGCCTCATTACATCATTGGACAGTAATTGAGGTAAACAATCCACTTTTGTCTTAAATTGAAGTTTAGTTTTCATAAAAAAAAAAAAATTTAAATCAAAAAATAAAAATTCAAGATTATTCACAATGGAATTGAAGGATATGGCCAAGGTTCCGCCAGCATACATCTTTGCTGCATCTATTCCAGCTGTGATGATAGCGGGGCTTTACTTCTTCGACCACAGTGTTGCTTCCCAGTTGGCACAACAAAAGGAATTCAATCTCAAGAACCCTTCCGCATACCACTATGATATGTTGTTGCTAGGATTTTTGGTAAATATTGTGCTGAAACAGTACTACTTTTCCAGTTTCAAGCTATATTTTCTCAAGATTAACGTTCTCGTCTCGAATACACAATCTCAGACTTTGCTTTGTGGATTGATTGGCCTGCCTCCTTCAAATGGGGTCCTACCTCAGTCCCCTATGCACACTAAGAGCCTTGCAGTTCTCAAGAGTCAGGTTGGTATATATATTATTACTCCTCTGGGAAATCTTCTATTGAATTTAAGTTAGACGCTTGATTTGACTCGGATATGTTCTGTAGTTAATCCGTAGAAAGATGGTGGAGAGTGCAAAGGAAAGCATAAAACAAAAAGCTAGCAACTCCGAAATCTATGGCAAGATGCAAGATGTCTTCGTTGAAATTGACAGCAGTACAGTGGTAAGCACTCATAGTTTGCTAAGTTGCCACCGAAATAAAGTGATTTTTTAGGCTCTAGTAAGGACCCTTTTTCTAACATATATCAGCCAAAAAGACCTCATAAGGGCCGTTTGTGTTTCTTTCTTATAGACTTTAGTGGCTAGAGAGCTAGAAGACTTGAAGGAGGCGGTGATGAAAAGTGAAAACAATCAAAATACAAAGGAGAAATTTGATCCTGAGATGCACATTGATGCTTACTTGCCTGTCCGCGTCAATGAGCAGAGACTCAGCAATCTTCTGCAGTCACTCCTAGTGGCAGCATCAGTTGGTGCTATGCCAGCAATCAAATTGATCCCAACATCAGTTCTTTGGGGATATTTTGCTTACATGGCCATTGATAGTCTTCCTGGAAACCAGTTCTGGGAAAGGATGCTACTTCTCTTTATCACCCCGGGCAGGCGCTACAAGTATGTTATGCTTCTCTATTCTTTTAGCATTTCAGATTTTGGCAGCTAATTTGTTCCTTATGTGCTTGTGATCATTATTGGCAGAATATTGGAAGGGGCTCATGCTTCTTTTGTGGAGACAGTGCCATACAAATACATTGCAATATTTACACTCTTCCAATTAGTGTATCTCCTTGTTTGCTTTGGTGTGACATGGATTCCTATTGCTGGAATCCTGTTCCCCCTACCCTTCTTTGTGCTCATCAGCATAAGACAGTACCTTCTCCCTAAACTCTTTAGCCCATATCATCTCCGAGAACTGGATGCAGCTGAATACGAGGAAGTCACAGGCACCCCAGGGCCATCACTCAACGTTAACCTCTCTTTTAGGGTAATTGATGCTATAATTTGTTTTCATGAATCATAAATCTTTTAACATATTGAAACTCTCCAAAGTAATAGCAATAACATTTTATCAGGAAAGAGAGACATCTAGTCCTGGAGGTGATGACAATGAGATCGAATTGTGTGATGCTGAGTTACTAGATGAGTTAACAACCTCTAGAGGGGAGTTAAAGATCAGAAGTGTAAGCTTCAATGAGGACAGAAAGAGTCAGGTTAGAACATGAACTCCTCAAAAACTAGTTTTTAACTCTATGCATTAATTGTGCATTTTTCGTGCGCTAACCGTGCATTTTCTATGCACCAAAATGACATAATTTTAGACTCTATCTCTATGTCCATATATATATAACCTAAACTAAATTAATTTTAAGCTTGTGTGCTACTCATGTGCATTATACTTATTCAATCTCTATTTGACATGGGTATATTGAGCATTAGCCTCTAAAACAAATTAGTTTTAGGCTCTATTTAATGCAGTTCTAATTAATGCATTGGGAGCATTTATAAATAGATAAATTAATCTATAAAAGATTGTTTTGTAGTTTAAATTATATCAAATTGTAAAATAAAAATTTTAAGATGAAAGACAGGTCCTCTAATAATAGAAACTGTCTCTTCATTTAAAAATCTCTATTTTACGGTTTGGATTGCAAAACAACAAAACAAAAGACTCCTAACATACAAAGCATGATAATCATATGATTTTGCATTTGTTTGGCAGGTTCACCCAGGAGATATGACCACAAGTGAATGAGGGAAGTCTGATAATGATGACAAAATGATACTCATAGACTTGATAGAAAAGACTTTTATAGTTTACAAAAATTAGTGGAGTCATATGAATCCAAATCAAATATCCTTTGGAGGTTGAGATTGCGACGTCTGTTAGCTTATGTTGAGTATCTGATATTTTGGCTTCAACGTTGGCTTAGGCGGAGTCCACAGAACCCGTTTATGGCACACCTCTAGACAAATGTTATACTTCAATTATGAGCCGTGGAAATTTATGTTCATGAGAAGTTGTTGTATTTGTTTTTGGTCTTTTATATGAAAATAACGTTGGCACATTCTGTGGAACACCGCATAACAATTTGTAATACAAGTCAATAGGACCTGTGGTTGGTAGTAAAGATATAAAATATGAGGTTTAAGATGCCTCAATATCTCACCTCCTTTTTTTTTTCTTTTTTTTTTTTAAATGTCAATTTGCAAATCTTTGCAAAAGAATTAAAAAATATATTTTGTACGTAAGGCATACAAACAATTTGACATTTGAGCAATGTTTGTCAGTAAAGAGTTCTCAATGCTTTAGATTTTGGAAGAACACATGCCCTCATATCCTGAAAGTAAAGAAGGCCACATGATTTGCCATGCAACAAGTAGGACCTCTGCTCGGTAGGAAAGACATAAAAATATGAGGTTTAAGATGCTTCAAATTCAAGTATCTATCATCATCCTTTTTTTTTTTAATGTGAACTTGCAAATCTTTGCAAAAGAATTAAAAAATATATTTTGTAAGGCATACAACAATTTGATATTTGAGCAATGCTTGTCAGTAAAGAGTTCTCAATGCTTTAGATTTTGAAAGATCGCATGCCCTCATACCCTGAAAGCAAGGCCACATGAATTGCCATGCAACAAGCTAATTACAATTAGTTGGTCAAGCGTTTAGGAGATTGTTCCTTTCCCTTTGTAGAACAACTACGAGAAACCATAGATGTGTTTTCTTAGCCTTGATTGTCATACTACCAAAATTAAGGATTAGGATTTAGGAATGGTAACAAGTCCTCACGGGGTTAGGGACCCCTTCCCCATCCCCATCCCTGCCAATAACGAATTCCATGGGGATTTTTTATTGAAAACCAAAAATAGTTTCTGTCTTCATATCCGTGAAAAATAATAGGTCCTTGTGTACCCACCAAGTATTAAATATATAAAATTTAGCTTTTTTTTTCTTGATAAATAAAAAAGTAAAAATTTAAAACAACTCAAACATGTGAATACATTAACATATATTGCAACAAAGTAATATCTAGTAACCAATTGTAGCAAATACAAACTGCCATATACATTCAACAAGTCTAGTAACAAGTTCATAAAATAATAAAAAATGCATGAACTATCATACATGTCCAAGTTAGGTTGGGTTGGGTTGGGTTATTGAATTGGGTTTGAGAAGATTAGAACTAGAAAAGGAATTAGGCTTGGCAATTTAGGTTAAGTTGGGTTAGCCAATTAGATTGGGTGAGTAAAAATTAATTGGTAATATATTTACAATAATATATAATAATAAAGTTATATATTTTTTATTATATATGGATCCTTATAGGTTCTCATAAGGTAGTGGAAATTCTCCACGAAATTTTGTAGGAAAAAAAATACTTCCATCCCCATCCTTTGAGAAGGAATATTCTTAAAATCTCCATCTCATGGTGGGGAGCTCATGGGTTTTGAAGGAAATTGTTATTTCTATAAGGGATAAGGGTAGACAGGGTTTATAGTAAACGTAAGATTAGAATGTAAACCCCAAGGTTTACCCAAAATTTTATTTCGGTAAGTAATAAAATAATTATATAAACAATGTAAAAACAGAAAATAAAAAGTATTGGGAAGAAGAGATCAAGCCATGATTTATGATGGTTCCTTTAACAAATGTTTACTTCCCAAACCTCATCGCTTGAGAGTTCAATTCACTAAGATGCTTTTATTTATGGGTGTAAAATTAAACCAGAACAAATTTTTGCTTATAAGTGCAAAATTAAACCCTCACACCTAACTTTTGAGTGTTAAGAATCGTATATGAGTGAATCTCAATAGCCCGTTCAACAAAAATTATCTTAGGCCATGTTTGGTATAGCGGTTTTTGGGTAACGGTTAGCGGTTTTACCTAAACCGCTAAATATATGTGTTTGGTAAATTTACATATTTCGAAACCATTATAAATAAAGTGTTTGGTAAAATTTTTATTTAGCGGTTAGAAACTAGCGGATAGCGGTTAGAGTCCAAATCGCTAGCGGATTGAAAAAGTTAGTTTATGTAGCTTTTTTTACCAAACCGTTAACGGATTAAAATTTTTTAATTTTATTTACAAATTTATCCCTTTTAATTTTTTAATTTGTGGTCACATTTTTTAATTAATAATTATCTAATAAATTTCAATTTTATAATAACATTAAGTAATTATAATATTTTTTTACATTAATTTATAATTAAAAAATATATTATCTTAAAAA